TACGTGACAGATAAGAATCTGCGATATTTTAAGACGTAATCTAGGTATGTTGTACAACAAGCTGCTTGCCAATTCCCGTGAATGAAACGTCTGTCACCATCTGGCGTGCGCGCCACGTGGCTGGATTTCATTGACGCGATATGCGACGATGGTACGAAAGCGTCCGGAATGACCGAAATGAGAGCGGGCTATCCTCTCATTCTTGCAAAATACGTATCTCTCACGCTCCGATTTCTCCCTGCTTTCTTGCTCTAAATTTCGCCTCCTGAAAGTCGAGCATTAATCTCAAGTGCGCGTTAAAGCAACATACATGACACGTAGTACATATCGATTTGCTCGCTTATTGCACGTGTCAGCCTTATTAGGTGGCAGCACGAGCTGGTAGTCAACGCGAGATACATGGCAGTGCCTATCCAGCTTATCCACCGTGCGTGTCGTTCGCTCGCGTTTGCGCTCGCACGTCAGTCCGTTCTCGACTGCGGCATTCGGCGATCCGGCGATCCACGACGTCACCTGGACATCATCCGGCGTCGCGACGCCCGTTAACGTAAGCCGAAACCTCCGTACCACCCCTGGGATTCCCTTTTTAACCTTCTGTTAACGCTACTTCGTTCTCGAAGGGAGACCCTACCTCCGCTCCGATTTCATCGCCCGATACTCTCGCTCGACTTTCACCGCGGATCCCGCGAGCGATTTTCTATACGAACCTTCGCTCGCGGTCTTGATCGTGTTCGCGTACCTTCGCACGCACGTCCTTTTCCCACGCATTTTTGCGTCCGTCACGTATGTACGTGTGCCGTGTGCGTGTGTATGCGTATCTCCGCGTTGTCCTCTTTTTCGCACGCACACGCGTGTTTCGAGAGAACGCGCCAAACGACGTGTCGCAATCCGAGCCTCGATTGAGCGAGCGAGGCAAAAAAATACGCGGAAATGTTTTGACACCTCGCACATTCGCGTGCGGAATAAGGGCACTCCGGATATACGAAACAAAAGAGCGCACGACATAAATAGGATGTAAATTGTAATGTATGGAACGTGACATAAATGTATTTAAAGAGCCACGTGTTTGGACGGTAGACGCATGTGTGCAATAATGCTTTTCTCCCATTGCTATCTGTTTCGTTGCAAAACATTTTTATTTATACACGCCGCGTGAAACGTGCAAGGCAGACGTGTGTCTCTGTTGCGGAAATTGGAAGCGGACAGACGACTCGTCCGTATTATTTCTCTCGAGCTGTCGCAGACGTTCTCACGCTTCTCACAACAGACCCCGCGCTCTCCCTTATCTTCGCTCTTATATTCTGTTTGTTATTTGCGCACATCGCTTTGAATACACGTCGCGCATATCGCACGCCGCACATCTGCGTTTGCGTTATCTTAATGATCGATAACGACCGATTCCGTTTATTACGCTATTTCGCCCGCTTTCATTATCCGGAGAAAGTTACACCATCTCGGAGGCTCGTTTGTAACAGCTGATGACGTGGCCCGATCATTTACGCGGGAATTTGTACGGTCGTGGCCTTTCGCTGACGATCGTTTCATCGTTGGCTCCGGATTTCCCGGAGCCGCGATGTCGCACGCGATATCTGCATGATGCCACTCGTGCGCACGTGTATGCGCTCATACGCGAATCCTGCTGGTTAATCAATGTGGTGCAAAGCTTTCTTCTGCCGACTATTTTTTTATCGAGTGTCTTCTGCACTCGATACATGTGATCGTAATCGTTGATAAGGCTTAGTCGAATAAAAGATAACGCATGAATTGTCATTGAACGAGAATATAAAGTAGGACTTAAATTAAATAATCGACTTAAGCAAATAAATGTCGAATGTTGGTAAGTGCACGCTTCGCTTTCTATTTCACGTCGGAAAAAAAATTCTCTCGCATTCTTCCTGCGATGCTTTCATCATTTGTATATCTTTCTTTATTTTTATTTTTAGTTCCAGAAAAATGCAGTACCTTCTACCACTAGTTTTAGTAGTTTTAATAATACAGACGTCGGTCGCACCGCCTGTCGAAAAGAAGAAGAAGGAGGAGGATCACAATGACAAGGAGAACGAAGTCGATGACTCCGAAGATTTGGTAGGTATATTTTTGGAATAATTCTATCTCGATCCGGTTTATACGGATAACGTATAATTCGTAAAATTCGTTTGTCTCTGCAGGGAAACGCGGAGTATCAAATGGAGTATCATCGGTACTTGAAGGAAGTGGTCCAGGCTTTGGAAAGTGACCCGGAGTTCCGCGAAAAGTTGGAAAAGGCCCATGAAGACGATATACGTGTGAGTTTCATGAGAATAATTAAGATATTATAGGATTAATTTATATTATATGTATAATTCTAACGTGATTTATTGCTTGTCATGTTTAATAATTGCTCCTTTAACAATGAAATTTCACACGATAGACTATTACGTCTATGATACACCGATCTAAGCATAGATCGCGAGTAGATTGAAATTTATGGATATTGAATTGTCGAATACATTGGATATTTTCTGTCTATACAGGGTGTCATAAGTATTTTTTAAAACTTTGTAATCGTGTTTCTGGATAAAAAGTATGAATAAATATTCCTGTGAACATTAGGCCGAAAATGCTTCGTTATAGTATAAGATATTTGATTTTAAACCAAGGTTGGCCAAACATATGCCAGCTGTTTACGTGTATAATTGTCGAGTCAGCGATATAAATACTATTTTAGAATCAAAACAGACATCGTGGAAAGAAAGAATCTAAATTACTCAGTTATCAGAAATCTGTTTGTGTCTATCATTTCAATAATGAAGCGTAATATTCACAGGAACATTTATTCATACTTTTTATCCAGGAACACGCTCATGAAGTTTTAAAACATACTTATGACTCACTCTGTATATATACATATATTGAATGCAATTTGTAAATTTCATCAGATATTTTTGTACGTAGACGGGCAAGATAGCGCACGAGCTCCAGTTCGTAGATCATAAGGTCAGAACGAAGCTCGATGAATTGAAACGAGAGGAATTGGAGAGGCTGCGACATCTCGCCACCAAGGAGCATAATCTGATCAACGGTCTGGACATGGACCACTTAAAGATAGCGGAACATTTGGATCACTCTAATACGCATACGTTCGAGATAGATGATTTGAAGAAATTGATCGCCAAGGTAGAACAACTTCTGGATTTATAAAAAAAAATATGACCGGTTTTTGTATGAACTGTTCTAATGAATATTATATTATTATTTTGAATTATTGCAGACGACGAAAGACTTGGCGGACGCCGATAAAAGAAGACGTCAGCAATTTAAAGAATACGAGATGGAAAAGAAATTCGAGGAGGAGCAAAAGATGAAGGGTAATACCGGTAACAGAACATAACGCTTCTAGGCTTGCTCATTTACGAATTTATACGTAATCATCAATTTTGGAATTTACGTATTTCATTTTCGGAAGGTCTGAAGGAGGAAGAGAAGAAGAAGTACGAGGAAGAATTGGAAGCGATGAAGAAGAAGCACAAGGATCACAAACCCGTAAGTTAAAAAATGGATATAAACTAGTTCTTTTCTTTTCTAAAGACTTTATATCAATAGCGAATCATAAACTACGAATCATGCACAGTCTGGCGTCAATGAGTAATATGCATTTGCAGTTGCATCATCCCGGTAGTAAGCAACAATTGGAGGAAGTATGGGAGAAGCAAGATCATATGGAGGATCAGGAATTTAATCCCAAGACGTTCTTTTACCTTCATGGTAGGAAAGACTGTTATCTTTATTTACAGAATTGATCAATATTACTTTAAAAAGTGATTCTTCTTTACACATACAAATCGATTCTCAGATCTGGATGGCAATGGTTTCTGGGATCAAGACGAGGTAAAGGCTCTGTTCTTGAAGGAATTGGATAAACTTTACAATGAAGGCGCGCCTGAAGATGACATCTACGAAAGACGGGAAGAAATGGAAAGAATGAGAGAACACGTGTTTAATGAGGCCGATCTTAATCACGACGGTCTCATAAGGTATGCACTTCGAAAATTATTTCCAACCAAGATTCACATTCAGAATTCTTTATGCTAATCGATTGCCAAGAATCACATGAAACGAATAAATGTATTATTTTGCGTCTTTGTTTATTGCAGTTATCAAGAATTTTTAGAACAAACGAAGAAACCCGATTTCCAGCAGGATGAAGGATGGCAAGGATTGGATGAGCAACAAATTTATTCTCAACAAGAGTATGAAGCTTTCCAGAGGCACAGACAGGAAGAAATCCAGAAAATGATCGCCAAGGGAATGGTAGGCGATTAATTACCAAATTTAATCTTGACTGCACTTAAAAATTGAGTAGAAAAACTGTATTTATATATTGTGTATTATAAGTCTAGTTATGAATTTCTAATTGCTATAGGATTAAATCTCCGCATATATCGAGTTGATTTTATTTTTGAACATTACTTTTACATAGACTTCGAAAGCTATCTAAACGATTTTATTTCTCACTTTCGTATATATATATATATATATATATATATATATATATATATATATATA